GATGCTACTTGTTTGGATTCGTTCGCCCCGTCTCACCTCCATCGGGCAAGCACAAAAGCTGGCGCTGCTGCAGAGCAGGTGGAATATAATAAACGGCTACATTATATGAGTCTGTCCACCAACTTTGTTTTTGTTCATTTTGGAGATTCAAGAGCACAGGCGTTGACTAAAGATGTAATTTGGCGCCTAATACATAGTGACCCCAAAGCCGGTGCTTTCCTCGCTCCACGAATATGTATCGCAATACAGCGAGGAATTCTGCCAGCATTTAATGTACACTGCCACACAACCAAACTATTGAATTTGTTTTAATTTTTAATTAACCATTTTGTATTATATTTATATGTATGTGAAGAATATTGTGAATACTTTATATTTTTGTGTTGGATTTTTTATTATTATTACATATTCACTGATAAAAATGCTTACGGTGGAGAAAACAAAACATTCAATTTCAAAAGTTTAAATCAAAATACACAATTTAAGAATTATTTTATAATATCTGATATTTTATTTAAACCCAGAACCACCACTTGTGAATTGCGGTAAACTTAAACATCGGTGTCAGTAGGGCGATGGTTCAATAACTTGGGCATTTATCTACAGGTTCCACCTGTTGCAATCATCTGACAAGATGGTAATAATAGAATAATTAAACAACGACGCCCTCGCTTGCCGTACGCACTAAGCACACCTTATACCGTTATACCTTAAGTTACAAGCGATCTGCAAGTGAATAATTTGCGGATTAATGGGTCGAAAAAAATGGGCTAGCGATAAAATCCGTTTTCCCCAGTAAAGCTAAAATTTCAATTGAGCGACTCCCTTTTCCATTCTAGGTCTTTAGGCCTAAATCCCAAAGAAAACGTATAGATATGTCTTAGTTGACCACCTGACACTCGATTGACGATTGATTGATTGACGATGGCGTAGTCTTGTTCTTTCGCGGATTTTGTAAACGTTTTTGATATTCATAAGCATGCCCTAAGACGCATCTAAACCGAATAAACGTATTTTGATTTGATTTGATTGATTTATCGGTTGAACTTTGGATCTTTTTAAGTTCATTTCTAATTAATAAAAAAATCTGAAAATATGTCTCAGGATAGATTTTTCGCGTACGTTGTCTGTTCTGTTTTATTAGTCACGAGACTATTTTTACTACGTTTTTCGCTTTAGAACTCCACGAACAGAATTACTAGATTTTGTTTTCTACTAGAGTTAATATTACTTATTCGTTACTGAAATCTGAATGACTAGTTGCATGTGTTGATTCCCGACGAAGTTTTATTTATAAAATAATCAATTTGGAACAAAAATTATTGTACACAATAAAATCGCTAAAGCGCGTGAAACAGACTGGCAATCATGAGTGATATTTTAGATCTCTTTGTAAACCGGTCGAAGAATCTGGTGATAACGGAGAATTTGATTCATTCTAATATTTAGGTTAGACGCGACAAAATCGCAATATTAGAGTATCAAATTTTTGTATAAAAAAACAAGCAGGAACATAAGCATAAATAATTAAAGTCTTTTGTTTTTCTACAAATAAAAATTTGTCTGTTTCATAGACTTTTTACATACATATATGTAGGTGATACAATGTTCACCGGGTCATCTAGTACTTTTATAAAATAACATTGCCGTTTCTAAAGATACCAAATATATTAAAATTAGTGTAACAAATAAGTCACTTAGAATAACTGATAAATATCCCAATTTCTAGTATTTAGTTAGTTCAGCGTCGCAACCCCACTACCACTTATTTTATGTCTAAACCAGTGAGTCCCAACCTTTTTTGTACCATACCCCACCATAGCCTTATCGTTAAATTAAAGAAACATAAATGATACCTATCATATATCACATGAAAAACGTAATTTTTAATTCCAAATAACTTTAATAAATTTTCGAATAGCCCCCCTTAGGACTCCCACACAAAACTGCGATGCGATGCGATGCGAATTCGCATCGCAGGAATTTGCGATGCGAATTTCTTCGATACGATTCAGTGCGTCAAACCGTTTGGTAGGGCGACCATTCCTTCGAAGCCAGCCGTACTAAACGTGTTTTTAAGAAGCGTAAGATGGATCCCAAAAGGATTATTGCACTGCTGTTATTGTTAAATAGATATAAAAGAAAAAGAAGATTCTGGGTTCATCCATTCTCTGATGGGAACTATTTTTTTCAAAAGTACTATGCGTTGAGAACTGAAGATAAATTTTTTGATTATTTTTGAATGAGCATATCTTCATTTGAAGAGCTTTTGAGTATATTATCACCATGCCTTCAAAAACGATTGTACAAGGGAAGAATTCCTGTTATGCCTTTGAAAATGCTGGGACTGACTATCAGGTAAAGTAAAACAAAATTTATTTATTGACATTTTAATTGTTTGTCTCAGAGCGGACTAAAATGGTGTCACCAAGGATGACGTAAAATCGCAGGAATGTGCGATGCGAAGCAGATCGGAAATTCTTGCGTTGCGTTCGTGCGAATTCGCAGATATTTGCGATGCGATGCGAATTCGCAGTTTTGTGTGGGAGCCCTTAACAATAAAATCGCCCCCCAAATTGCGCCACGTTGGGAAACAGTGGTCTAAACCATTAAATACAGTTGACAGCTTCGAAAAATATGTTTCATTTATTTGAACATCCCAGAACTGTTGTCGAACTTAGTTTTTTTTTTCTCTCAAAATACTTTATTTATTTATATGCTAGCATTTACTTTCTCATAATTTCATACTTTAATTAACTTTTGGCAAAAACGGATGCCATACATCTATAACGATCTTGCCTTCGATTTTAGATCTTACATTCATTTATACACAAATGACCCTTAAAATGATTGCGGACATGGATGCAATGCTCCATGCATTGCGTTACTTTACCCGAGATTATTGTTAATATTGCATTTGCTATTAATAACATAATTTTTCTCCTTTATAATTGTTCTATAGGTTTGAAAACTCCTTAACAGCATAGGGATTTGACAATTGACATTAGACAATTTACTTTGTTTTTGGGTTCTGGCGCTGTGGAGGAAGACATAGACGTTCACTCGCAGTGAACGAACGAAGTGAACTTGAACTGTAGTCAAACAAGTAAGCGACTTTCCGCGGGAGAGAGTCGTGGGATTGAACGACAATGAGTCTTCCGCTTTTTCGATACCATTAACAACTCATGTGAAGTAATTTCTCGGTGAAGAAAGTAAAAGTGGGTCAGTAGAAGCGTTTTCGTTCGCATAACATTATATATATATCTTTATACGCATGATATTATGGATTTTCTCGTAATATTTATTATGTTTTGCATATGTAAGTTGCAATTTTTTAAATATGCGTATGACGTGTTTAAAAACTGTGTATTAGAAAACTATTTTTCATATTAATATAAACTTAAATATTATTTTTTTTTCTTTATATTACCGAACTTTATATTACGAATCAAAAATAAAAATATCAGTATTATAAATCCGTCTAAAGCGAGCTACGCTGAATTATAAGAAATTTTAGTATTGTTGTTTAGTGTTGGACTCTAAACGTCGGTCGTACTTTCGAATCGCAGTTCTTCCTTTCCAGGACCAATCGACTTTTCTTCTTTTGTGCACCCAAATCACTTGCCCGTATGCTAAAGGGTTAAAATTTAACCACGTTCAAGCACAATGCTCAACCGCCTTCCTTATCTTTGATTAAATAAGTGTCGCTTATAAAGACTACCAAAACAGATGTGCCTAGGTTACGAAAATTCATACCCTCGTAGCACATAGATACTCACCACAGAAAGGAATGCCGTCTGGTACCCATCGTCCATTACCGTCGCAGACTCGCCTCGACGGACCCAAGAGTTCGAAGCCTCTATCACACGTGTACATAGCAACTGTACCCGCCACATCAGGCTCCTCGGTAAAGGACACGGAACAGTGCGCAGGTACACCAGGGAACCCACATGATGTCACTGCATAAACTGTAACAATAATATTTTATATTAATAAAATTCCTGCCACAAAAAGTACAAAAATATACAATTGTATATTAAATACTACACGTTTCATTTTTAATTTTCAGCGGGTACTTCGAATCCCCGTGCGTAAATACCCGCAACGATTCGATTTTTTTTCATTTGTGCTTAAACATTATGTTATGGGTAGAGACACCAAAAAACTTGGGGGGGCCTAGACTACGCGGGTGAACTGGCCGTATGGCCACGCCATTACATTACTTTAAACTAAGGAACAATATTTTTTTTATAAAAACAACAAAAAACACAAATAAAAGACAGAAAAATAAATGATTTCAAGCCCTACCCATACCTATACCTATCCAATAATTTTAAGTTTATTACAACAGCACGTTACAACCGACACACATTACATTCTTGTATAAAACAGTAAGAAATATTAAAAACTTCTCTTTGAAGGTTTTTTGCGTCTTTAGATTTTGTTTCGGACTAGCAATTTTATTAGTGCGTGAATTTGTCTTTTTCAAATGTTTTTCCGAAATAGAGTAATCTTAGAGTATCATAACAATCTGCACTAATGCTCAATAAAAACTATTAGTGTTACTTCTCTTCTATATCGTAATTTTATGTTTATGTTTACGGTCTAAAAAGATATGAGCAAAACGAATCTACAATGAGCTGAAAAAAACAATAAAAAACGAAAAATATTGGTAATACAATTTTGACATCAAACAAAAAAATAACACACAAAAATCTCATGGATTTTATGCAATTTAAAATTTTAAAGCATATATAAATTTTGTGTTACCAGTATCTCGGCTTCGACACCATTTCATTTCACATATTTTATTTAAAATCTAAACATAAGTATATTTTTTTTAAATGCAGCACGCTCCATTCGCCAACATTACCTTTGCATTGTACATTATCTGTTATATTATTTCTAATTATACTCTTGAAACTTCACACTTGACAATCTTAATAGCGCTATGTTTCGTGACGCCTTTCATACATTTAAATGTATAATATATTACTAGAATGAATAGCACACTCTCTTTAGAAGTATTAGCTTTATCATATGACGTCCGAAAACCAGCAGAAAATTTAAGGGGACCATTATTGATAATACGACTAATGACATTGATGATTATGGTGGCATTGCTGACTTTACATCTGCGGTCTTTGAGAGTATTTCGATGGGAGCAGTCGGTGTCTGGTGGACTACTGGTGACATATTGTATTGCTTCGTTGGGACTAGCCTTATGTGCTGGTACAACTAAGTGCGGTGGACTGGCGTTTCAGGTTCGAGAAATATATTTCTATAGAGATCGGTGGGTATGATTCAAACAGTGCATACCGTTTGGTGATTGGTCAAAGGAATACACGGGTCGTGTCGCGAGTCTGTGATTGGACTAGAATTGCTTGTGACCAATCGCAGTGAAACGAAACCTGCCTTTAGTTTTACATTCCAACCGTTAGATATCTCATTTTCATTTATTTTTTAATTTAAACCAATCGCCGAAGCAAAAATTATATAGTAATTTCAGATAGTGCTTCATAGGAGTTAGGACCTACTCATAGAGATCATTGATAAAGCGACCTTAACTTTGGACCTGGTCTTTCTATAGACAACACGTTTTATAGATTATTACTGTTATAGGCATATTTATGCGGTGTGGGAACTGTGCTACTTGCAGTGAATGCTGTGATCCTGTACCAACGTTGGCGATACGCAGGTGAACTGACTAGAGTCGTTGCTGAGTTCCTGGTGGCCATGGGTGTACCGCTTCGCAGACAAGTCCTCACGAAGGTCGTGCTCAGTGCTGCCGCCGCAACAACACTTTTGGCTGACCTAGTGGCAGCTCCGTTATTGCCTAATTCACGTAGCGAATAAAAAATATTCTGTTTCTTACGTGTGAATTCGAGTGGGTATTCTAACTCTCTCTCCCTGACCAGGAAGAATTGAATGCGTTGTATAAAATAAAATAAAATTATGAATGATTTAAAACAGGCCATTGCTACTAAAATTTTATTCAAAAAATGGGGTATGCCATGACATTGAGAGACGCTTTGTTGGTCAGAGCAAAGCCAGTACTATTTTCACAAAATTTGACATGGAGAAAGCAGGATAGCAAAACATATTAGTCAGACTATTGCCTTTACAAAGCCTTAAGAGATACACCTTAAGGAAAGTCGTGACTAAGAAAAGCATTGCATGACGAATTAGTAAACGCGTCACCGGCGTACCAATATCCGTGAAACATTCGAAATTCGAAAAGATCTCGATCAAAAATGTACCATAGCGATTATATAGCGAAAGCGAACCAAGTTTGCTCCGATTTTAATGAACTCTCTATAACGAGCGTTAAATTTTTGTTTATTACCATTATTTCCCCTCCAATTGCGATAAGACCGATAGATGAACCTGTTTCTAGCCTCTAATCTAAATCCTATCTAGTAATACTTTGCTTTTGGAATTGTTTATAGTACAATTTACTAAATAATCTTTATTCACATTTTTTTTCGACCCTCGTCTTACTACGCGCAGGCATTTGATCTGTAGATATGTATGTATTTCTAAAAAGATTTATTTCCCAAATTAATACTGATTAAGTGCGTTTCTTTTTTCAGCTTTCGCGTCGTATATAGAAATGTTAACCCTAGAGAGACGGTATCCATAATACAAACTTTACGATTCCGAAGACAACATTAAAATGTTACAATTTTATCACAATATTATTTGACTTATTTATTGTGTTAAAATATTTTTACTGTAAAAAATTATATACTAAAAGCCAATTTTATTGCATACACAAACTAAAATGAGTAGTGTAGTGGCTTACAAGTGCCCTCAACCCTAAGGCCTCACTTTCGTAACCCGGTTATGCATCATTCATTTTACTTACTGTGCATTTTAAAAGTTGCTCGTACGGTTAAATCTAACATCGCGAGGACCTCGGCATGTCTTAGACCCAGAAAGCTGATCAACTACTTGACTATAAACGAAATATGATCACGGAAATGTACAATCTGAATTATTATTATTACCATAGAAATTATATTATGTTTCGTTTTATTCAATATACCGTATTTAATGTTGTATATTTTGTAATGAAATAAAGTATTTTCAAAATTTATAAAGTACTTAATTGCAAGCATGTTCACAAGTTCTTCTAGTAGCATATTTCTATATAATCTAAATATTATTAATCCGATATTTTGAATATCTTAATAATTTTCATCCGCCAGTATGGCTATAGAACCGTAGGGTCAAATGTTAGTGAAAGTTGACCCGTATGACGTATTCTATGACTAAACAATAAGAGACATTTCTCAGGTCATGCTGACTCATAATAAACAGGATATTTTACTTTCTTTATTAATGTTGTTATCTATTAAAATAAAAGATAAACAGCAAGCTTAGCACGTTTTAGAATACCACCCCAGCCATGTTTAAGAACGTAGTAGCATCAAACTTAAGCACATCCCGAACTACTTTGAAAAGAAATCGACAGAAATATGTGATAATGAGGACACTTACTTATCTCGAGCCGAGTGGCAGGCGATGATTACCAACGCCAAGAAAGCGTGGTGACCCCACTATGGCAGAGCAAGGTGATTATATCTATCACGTTTTTTATCAGAGGCCCACGTGTTTTATGATCTTGAATTTTTTTGTTTCCGTTTCCATTACACTTGGTATTATTAGGAGCTACTTATGGTGCACGTCTCGTATTACTATCCGTTCACGACATCTTAGTAAATATATTATTAAGATGAATCCCGGGTATTTGTTAAATAAACAATTTTCTTACGATTTTGTTAAAATCAATTATATTTCTTGGAAGTGAAGGTTTTTGGGAATTCCAAATTTAAAAATGAGCAAGTAATCAATTCTTAAACACAAGTCTACTTTTGAATGTTAATAATTGCTGTCTAAATAATGTTTCTTTTTTAAATAGACTTCATTAATGAGATAATTAAATGTGTTAAGGGTTTATTAATTTATGTAAGCTAAAGTAATTTGGAGATCATTTTTGGGTGTCAGCCGTCAGATATCTGATATGGAATCGTGACACGTCAACCATCAAATATTTTAAAGTTCTTTGGATTTTTGAAGACAGTTAAAATACATTTCTTAAAAGCAACTCAATTTAGGAAGACGTTTCGAAAAGTGATATAAATGCTAACGGTTTATCAAATGTTTGAAATCAAGTTTTGTGTCCCGTTCCAAATGTTAATTATTAGGAATTCATTGTAATATATTCACAGCTATGATTCCGCAAGTCATTAATCTTATAGACGATCACAAAACAAGATAAACTTTTATTCTGACAGATAATTAATATTTTCGGAACTTTCTATGACTTGCCATTGATTACTTGTTTCTTACACATTTCATAATGGTTACGTTGTGAAGAACTTAGAACCTTTTTCATTGAAAATATAATCGGATAGTAAAGGTATCGTCATAGAATAACTATTTTATAATATAAAACGAACGAACGAATGAACCCGATAAACTCAAACTTTTTGGACGGTAGCCATTAGATGGCCATAGATCCTGTGGATTGTGGAAGAGGTCGAAAATACATGAAATCCATGCGGGCGAAACAGCGGGAAGCTTCGATATTTTTTTTTTAATAGAACGGGGAAAACAGGCTGGAGGCTAACCTGATATTAAGTGATACCGCTGCCCATGGACACTCGCAATGCCAGAGGACTCGCGAGTGCGTTGCCGGCCTTTTAATAATTGGTACGTTTTCGAAGTAACCTAAGTCGAATTGGTTCGGTAATACTTCGATATATCACACAGTAAACTTAATTTTTTTTATATCAGAACCGTATACACAAAGTTTGTGTGTTTACGATATACGATTTGGATCGTTCGATCTGTGAATATATACTAACAATACACATACCCTATCCAGGCCCTGGTTGCCATGACCCTCGTAACCATTTACTCGGATATCATGTTTTATTATTTATGTAGTATGTGATCCGTTGTGTCTAAAGAAACTTAACATATTAAGCTTATAACAAAGAAGAACTTGGTTATAGAAAGCTCTCATCAAGTTTCTTTATTAAAAGCCGATACGGAAGTTAGATTTGTCTAACGTTCATTAACCCCAATATCAGAGCTTAAAAGATATGATAAGGAAATGAGAACACACCTATGTCTCGAATGGCGTAGTGTTTTCATCATTGAAAGAAATTTTTTGGTACTATTTAATAATCCGGTAAACAAAATTACGATAAACGTTGTCAGTAGAATTTCTCTTTGATTTCATCCATAAAATATCACCTGAAGTTATCAATTATCATGATTACTTTGTCGCCTCCCCTTCCCCCTTTAGGACAGAGGCCTGACATATTGCTATATTTTGTCACTTTTTAATTAATGTGTATATTATAATGATCAATGCATCATAGAATTTATTATAAATATATTTATGTTTTATTTTTATTCTTTTTTGTACATAAATAGCGCTTTATGTTTATGTTTGAATGTGTATTCCGTTTTTGGCTTTAGTGTACAATTTAATTGTTTGAATATTTTTTAATCAGTAGCTGTAGGAATAATACTAAACTAAATAATAAAGTAATGGCGCTGCGTTCCAACCAGAAGAATTAAGGTGGTAAACAGATCTAGTAATATCAACTGGAGCGTAAACAGTAAACACTCAACGCTAAATCAATAGTAATATAATACAAATATATAAGGGAACAGGCTTACTGGCCTTAAGAACTCACTTCTTCAGAAAAGACCAAACACTTTCTTCTAGTAATTACTAGCGGCCCGCTCCGGCTTCGCACGGGTATAAAATATATAGCCTATGTCACTCACTGAAAAAATGATTAAAATTAATCCAGTAGTTTTTATTTATTCATTACTGCCCGTGGCCCTCACGCGTTAAATTTGGATAGTTTGATAAATGTCGTGGGGCTCAGCCTGCGTTTGCAATGTAAGCGGAAAAAATGTAATTTTTACGACATCACATTAGAAACCTCAAAAATAACAGTATTTCTCCACTATTTAATGGATGTTGTTATGTATAATAATGTATGTATATTATAAACCTTCCTCTTCAATCACTCTATCTATTAAAAAAAACCGCATCAAAATCCGTTGCGTAGTTTTAAAAATTTAAGCATACATAGGGATATAGGGACAGAAAAAGCGACTTTGTTTTATACTAAATTGTGATACAACGGATTATGCTGTATTTGCCACTGTTTATAATAGTTAGATAAATTATGAACAAAATAGGTTTGAGCGATACCTACAAGGCTACAAACGCGAACTACAAGCGCGTCACTGTGGACGCCCTCTGCCCCAACTAGGGGTTATAGGACATTAAGTCAAGACAAGGCTACAACCACTGCGAGGACGTAACCACTAAGGATGTAAGTTCTCGATCTTAGCCACTGGGGCCTTTGGGCCGGCCTGTCGAGAATCACCCCATGAGGTTGGAGGAAGAGCAGCACCTTCCTTCCTCCATCGGTAATGTTTTACTTTTAAAAACAGGGCAAAGGGGCGGGAGGCTCACCTGATGTTATGTTATACTGATAGGGATTTTCAATGCCAGAAGGCGAGGTTCTTGAAGAACGCTACGTTAAATTCGTCCGGAAATACTTTAGTGGGCAGCTGGTTCCACCTAGTGGTGGCGCACGGAAAAAACTGTCTTAAAAACGCTCAGTTGTGGACGACGACGACGGACGTCGAGGTGTTACGGGATTACTATACATAACACACACTTGAATATTGAATATACATATTAAGTGGACAACGGTGTTTCAAAGAGTTGATTGTCAGGTCAAACGATGACCTGTTTGTGTGGTGTGGGCGTTCATACACATTTTAATAGAGATGTTCTTTTGAATAACACAAAT